AGTTCTAGTACTAATACTAGTAGGTAGTACTAACAACAACTCCCTCCTGCTCAGCTACTAGTAGTAGTGGTAGCAGTACTACTACTAGGAGGGGCAAACAGCTGGTGTTGCGGGAGCAAGATGACATAGGCTGTTGCAGCAATGACAACAACAAGAACCCAAGGATAAAAAAGAAATAAACAGGAAAAATAACAACCCCATAAACACAACCAGAAGAGCAACACCACTACTAGTTGCAGTCACACCAGAGAGATTGATGGCAATCTTAAATGCATACCTACTAGGCACATTGGTGGCAATGACACAAAGGATGATTGTTCTAACAGCAGCTCCAAGCAAAATGACATAGCAACAACCACAACCACAGCCCTGCAAATGACAACAACAATGATCAGAATAACACCAGCAGTAACAGCAACAACAGCAATTTCCTAATCACAACCACCAACATGATGGCCCCTAAGGAAGCAAAAGAAAATGTGAATGGGTGATACCAACAATTGAGCATAGGCACAAAACCTTTCTTCAATTGATAGAAAAACCATTTTGGTGAGAGAATTAGAGCTGCTCTGGAATAGTCTGAGGACATTGACTCTCATCTGGAAAACAGCTTGCTTATGGTGTTAGGAATAGGAGCCCCCCGTGTTGATACTGTTACACAGTTGTGGGCCCAGTGTGATTCACTGGTCCATCAATATCCAATATGGCCAAATTCTGCTTGTTTGTATAAACAAAAGCAAGAGAGTTAGTATCAAAGAACAACTATCACTGGATTGAGTGCTCACCAAGTTAGTGTAATTGTTAAGAACTCAACAGTATTGGAAACTGATAGGATGTTAGAATGACAAGCAGTTTACCAAAGTTCCACCAGCTGGTGCCCTAATTTTGTATTGTTTGGGGTGTAATTTTACATTGGATTATCTGCTACCCAGCAAGAGAGAGCATCAAAAGGAGTGTTCCCCCATTGGTTCTTCAAAATTAAATTTGTTTTCTGTTTTTTTTTTGGGAATCCCTCCAAAAGAGAATGAACTACGACCACAAGTCATGATTCTGGTACTACCTCTCCTCAAGGACCAGGAGGACCAATACTACTTTTGTGTGATTTCTATTAGTACCTTGAATTTTTAATTTGTTTTTTTGGCCTGCCTGTCAAAACTACATTGATTTGACCTAAATCAAAGATCTTACAGCACTCAGATCCCTCTACAGAATTCTCCCCCCCTTCCCAAATGAAAATTTTTGTTCTTCAATTGATCAGTTGAAAGATGCAGGAGTAATAGGTTTAGAAAACACAAGCATCTAATGGCTGTCTACCCTATTGAGATATTTGAATAGTAGTGCAAAAGGTCCTTATTCATTTTACCAGGGCATCGCAAAACACCAAACATTTCAGCAATTTCTTTTCACACTTTCCTCCTGTAATATATATTTATATATTGCATGCCAACAAGAATTTCTAAACTAGAAACAACTAAAAATTTTGTCCTAGTCAAATAAAAACAAGTTTCCAGGTGCTATGAAGACCCAAACCATCTCTTCTATTGACTGGAGAGAAGGATGCTGATAAAGGAAGCAATTTTGAACTGAAAGAAGCACTATGATGACCAGGACCAGAACTGCAGACACAAGAATGCTCCTAGTAGCTGTTCTTTCCAAGGAGTCTTTTGGAAGGCGCAATCAAGAAATGATTCAAACCCCCAACCTCAACACCCATTGTATAGCTTGTGCCACAAGTTTCCAGATGCAATAGCCGTACATTTTGAATTCAGATATCTAGCCCTGTATATCACTCAATAATCAATAACCCACTGTAACCCCTCACATGACCACAGTCCTTTCTGTATTAAGAACACAATGATGAGCTTGTCTCTGTTGAAGGCCTGTTGGAAACAAAGTTTAGGGCCTAACAGTCTGTTCAAGATTGGAACAGTTATATGGTTCAATTGTAGTACTGTGTGTTGATTTTGGGCCATCTTTTTACAGCGTAATGACCAGTTAGACCCAACACATTTTAGTCCCACAACAGACATTTTGCACCTCAACTGCTATTTTAGCTCATAAAATTAGGCCACTACTTGTGTTGACTCACAATTTGGCAAGACACCTCCTTGACACATGTGTTCTCTTTCTGGTTCATCAGAAGTAACTATGATGGAAGCATTCCTCCGTGATTTAACACAATGCACCGATCCCATTTCCTTCTCCTCAAATCAATCAAGAACAATACACCCTGTGACAGAGGAGACCCCAGCTAAAAATGGAGGACAATGAAAAAACAAGCAGCAGGACAAGCACGCTGACCAAGTACTCATAAAAACACCTGATTTTCTTGTCAATGATCTCCATAATGATGTATACCAACACTACCCCAGCAACAGCTTACCTGACTCAGTTCCCCTGGACCAAGGGGAGAGCTCTCGTTTGGTTGTCTCCATCCAAAGCAGAGGGTAAAATCAAACAAAAGGAGAGCAAAAGCAAAGAAGGCAAGGTACCAAGGCCAGATGCTTGTTTACAAAGGACCCAAGGCCTGTGCTTACAAGTACTGGATGCCCAAGCGCAAGGTCACAATCGTAGAGGGCAACATGGAGACAAAATGGCACCAAGCAACAACAGTGAGGGAAGCAGCAGAGTCAATGAAGGAACAGCCCATCCAGCAATGAAGACCCAGAAGGAGCTTGAGGCTATAAAGCAACAATGCATGGATCCAGGGGTTGGGTGGAAGATCCAAATAGTTATGCATACCTCTGCATCTCTTCCAAAAGCTCCTGAGCCCTCTCCACCAGAAATCATGGATGATCCCTTGCCACAACTCTAATTCATATTGAATCAAGATTGGATGTGGGTGGAGGATTGGGAATGGAACAGCAAACCTACTCCATACAACATGTAGCTGAATGAGACCTGCAGTGGTTGTTCAAAGAAGACATGCTTGAAAATAAAGGATCTTGCAAAGGCCATTGAATTGGCTTGATTTGCATATCCACTGTTGCCTCCAAGCATGAGTGTTGGCATTAAACATGAGTGGTTTTTTGAGATATATTGGAGAGTCATGAAGAGGGAAAACAACTTCACCCCATACACTCAGTGTACAAAAGAATTTTCCTTTGATGAGTGGGGACATCCTTTTTATATGGATCAAGGCTTCTTCTTTGATTCTGCAGAATACAAGGAGGTGGAGATGGTGGATGGTGAGAACCAGCAACCTAATGCTGAACCAACAAAGCAACTGCATCAGCAACAAAAAGAGCAAAGCAACCACCGGATCAGGTAGCAACTGTATCAGCAACTGCATGAGCAACCGCATGAGCAACTGCATGAGCAACTGCATGAGCAACCGCATGAGCAACTGCATGAGCAACCACATGAGCAACCGAATGAGCAACTGCATGAGCAACCACATGAGCAGCTGCATGAGCAGCTGCATGAGCAACCACACAAGCAGCCACACAAGCAACTGCACAAGCAACTGCACAAACAACTGCACAAGTAATCACATGAGTAACTACATGAGCAACTGCATGAGTAACCAAATGAGCAACTGAATGACTGATTGGATTGGCAACAACCACCACCAATTAGAATTATCCATGTTTAAAATTAATATTTTGTTTGTCACACTGCTTCAAATGGCCCAGCCACTTTCACCAACTTAGCTTAACTTATTGCTCAACTCAGTGCTATCTATAGTTGGTACAGTTGGTACAGTGAGGTCACTTTTTACAACCTCATCATCTTCAGTAGGAATTCAAGCATCATCATCATCTTCCTCTTCAATATCATATTCAATATCCTTCAATTGTTAATTCTTGATGCATGTTGTTTGTTGTGTGATGCTGTATGGTCATGCCTCCCCCAACCTTACTCCAGTCTTGCTTGCACATGCAGGCACGTGCAAAATAGTTTCGCTCGCACGTGCATGATGTAGCCCTAGTACAAGTGAAAATTTTAATCCCATGAGTCATTACACGGTAAAAAGATGGCAGAAAATCCCCGCACAGTACAAAATACACGTAGAGGGTTGAATAGGGTACAACTCACTCTAACAGCTATAATTTGGTCCCCAACGGACGCTTAACAATGATAAGCACATGGTTGAAAAGAGAATTCAAAGAGCTTTCTAATGGCGTGGGGGAGAACGGCATACGTTGAATATTGATCAATATTCATGTACGTATATCTGTATTCAAAAATGTACGATAATTTCGGCCGGAAATGCTTGGCCCACGCTATACGATATATATTTATCTCAAATACACAGATCTTGGTTATCGTGGGCCGACGACAACCAAGATCTGAGTATTTGAAATACATAAATTGAGCTGGCTGGTCAAAAAGACATATTTCAATGTTATTGGGAATGATCCAATCTATGAGGAAATTGAATTTCAAGGGACTGTAAATTTTTATCTTTCTAATCTGCCAATCAGATTGCTTGATTCCTACAGAATATTAGTATTATCCCTAACTGTAAGAAAACGCCAAATATCAAATAATAAAATCCGCACGTGAACAAGTGTGTACGGGTACGTCGTCAAGAATATACAGTTCCAGTGCCAAGTACGTACGTACTATATTGTACTCCGAAGTACAGTAGTACTTGGATACGCATGTACAGCATTATTTTCAATAGAAGGATAGGATGAATCCATTAGTGTTAGGGTTTCAAGGACTTGAAGATTGATTGATAAAGATCGCGAGATACAAAACACAATCCATAGGGACTTCCAAACATACCTGTTCGTACGTACCTTCTCGTATGTAAAATACACAATGAGTCTGTTTTAGCGCACCCCCGATGGGTTTTCACCAATCATATTGTTCTATTGCCGGATGGGTTGTCCGGATCCGAAAATCAAAGTTGTACGAGAACTACGTACATTTTCCCCAAAAAGTGCTAATATTGGTTTTTTTCGTTCTCGTTCGTACCGGTACTAGTACGTCCTTCGAACCGATCGTCACCAACATGATCTAACACATCATCATCATCATCAAACGGATAGGTCCCGATCCTAGCAAACTTGTTTACTTCAGGAAAGCGTTCTCCCCTCCTGGCCAAACAAATTATAAAGCATCTATTTGTATCGACTATTTCCACACCTGTGAAACTATGAAATTTTCCAGCATTGTAGTTCTTGCCGCAGTGGCTCCTGGGGCAACTGGTTTTGCTCCTTTCCAGCGACAATTCACAACCCCTCGCACTGTTCTTCGCAAGGTCGAATACGATTTGGACCTCGGTATTGAAGAGGCCCCGAAGAAAAAGGGAGGAAAGAAAGAGGCACCAGCGCCTGTTCCAGCTCCCGTGCCTGCTCCGGAACCCGCCCCTGCCCCGAAGTCAAAAAAGCGAGCCTCTAAGAAAGCACCCGAACCTGTCCCTGAGCCTACCCCCGTGCCTGCTCCTGCTCCTGCTCCAAAAGCTAAGGCCAAGAAGGTGAAGCCTCAACCAGTCAAAACTCCTCCACCACCACCACTACCAGTAACGAAACCCGCTCCTAAGTCCGCCTCCGCCTCGACCAAGGCCAGTGGAGTTGCATTGGGTGTGGCTCCACTTGTGTTGGCGCCTCTTGCCATTTTGGGTGCTGGTCGCAGCGTTCTTTCTGGTACCAAGGAACGCAGAGAGAAGATCCAAAAAGAGATCGAAGAATTTGAGCAAGCCAAGAAGAAGAAGCAACTCCAAGCTGAAGTTGACGGCGGCGGTCTCGTGCAAGCTGCGGTATGTAACAGAGACTTCTCGCGACGAACACTTCTCTCGGTGCCGTGTTAGGACTGAAACATCGCTTTTTTTGTACGAATCTAACACATTGTTTTTCATGTTCTCCACCTCATTAAAATACTTGAAAGGGCTTCTTGGGTGCTGCGGGTCTTTCTCTTGGATTGATTGTCGCGAACCCTTTCGGTCAAACATCGAATTCACCTGCACCAGTCAAAGCCCCTGCCGCGACTAAGCAGGCCCCCAAGAAAGATGTCTCTGCTAAGACCAGTTCTGCACCCCCAGCAGCTGTGAAAAAGGTCGAAAAAAAGAAGATCAACGCCCAGAGAAAGGCGGAGTTGAAGTCCGGATATGATTTGTCTCTTGATGCTGAAGTCAAGGCTGACGAAAAGGCTGCTGTGAAGGCTATTAAGGAAGAGAAGGCACTCGAGGCTGCTGTGAAGAAGGACGAAGAAGCAGCACAAGCAGCAGCAAAGAAGGAGGAAGCAGCACAAGAAGCAGAGAAGAAGGCAAGTAGATTGAAATGGAGTGTTTGTCTTGGGCATTCCCGAATGCGTCGTTTTGATCAAACTTCTCTCACAATATGTTTGTCGCCTTTTTGGTAACAAACAGGCAGCGGAAGAGTTGAAGAAGGACGAAGCAGAAGCAAAGGCATTGAAGGAGGCAGAGAAAAAGGCAGAAAAGGCTGCCAATGGTGAGTCCATCCTTGATGTCACATCATGTTTGTCATATTGGATTTTGTCGCTGACCGTATGCTTCATTGATTCAACGCAGAGGCAAAGGCGAAGGAATTGGCAAAGAAAGAGAAGGAAGCCGAAGCAAAAGCAAATGCAGCAGCAGAGAAAGAAAAGGCTGCCAAGGCTGCTGGTAAGTCTAATCCACCGCATTCTGAAGTTGAGCATTTAAATTGCGTCGATCAAATCTAATAAAGTGTTTTCCCTCTTCACTTCAGAGGCGAAGGCCGCCGCTGAAGAAGAGAAGGCAGAAGCAAAAGCCCGAGCTGACGAAGAAAAGGCTAAGATTGCAGCAGACAAGGCGAAGGTACGGCACTAAAGAATTTATGTATTGTTCATCAATTGATGATATTCATCTTTTTCACTAACCAAGATTTCACTTTTTCACCCAGGCTGCTGAAGCAAAGGCCAAAGAAGACGAGGCTGCGCAAAAGAAGGTCAAGGAAGAGGAAGCTAAGGTGAGTTTGTTGCGTCGAATACGAAGCGAAAACCGAGTTACACTCATATCACGCTCACCAAAAATCGATTTGTTTCCATTTACAGGCTGCCGCCTCAGCTCCTGCGCCAGCGGCACCTGCCCCTGCTCCTAAGCCAGCTCCTGCCCCTAAGCCAGCCCCCAGTGGTGATGCAGCCCTTGGAAAGGTATTGGGAGGAGAAAGTGGTGGACGAATCCTCCCCAAGGAAGAACTCGACCCCGGCGTTCTCGAATTTCTCAAGGTAAGGACAAATTCAGCATGAAAAATAGCGCCCGTGGTGCTTTCGGACGTTCTTCTCTAACGAGGTCTTCGCACGTTTCGATGCTACAGAAATATTAAGTTTTTTCCTCTGAATTATGAGAGGAAATTCCGAACCGTACGGAGCAGACGGAACGCTATGTCGTTTTTATGGAGTTTCATGAATGGCACTACTATTCTTATCGGACATTCCGTCTCTGATGTTGTTTTCAAGGCCGACATCGATGACCATTATGATAGCAACAATAAAACTTTTAAGGCCACGCTATTCTTAAACTTGCTGATGTGGGCGATCTTATCGCACTGTAACGAGTTGGTCTTCTCTTTCGATAGCCATAAAAAACTTTGTCTATGCTCGGACGTCGAGTTTACTTGGCCCGAGTCATAGTCCCGAATCGTTTTGTTCTTCGTGATCAGCAAACATTTCCTCTGCATCTTGATCGTATCTCTGCTGCTGTTCTGCTTGCGCCTGCGCAAATCTCAACGCCTGAGAAGCTTTCCACTTGAACGCTATAGCGATGGATGCCAGCATGCATGACCAACATGCATAATATAAATTCGATCCAGGAAATTCCTCTCCTGTGACAAGCTGGTCGCAATTCACAATATGATTGCTTATTTTTCCCGCCGAGTCTTCTATGAACAAACTGACTGTGCAATTTGTTTTAATATCAACAGGTCTAGTAGCTATGTCACTCTTGCACTCGTCACCTTCCATCTTCGCAGCAATTCCTCCTGAAAAAGAATTTAAAAGTATGTTAAAGAAAAATAAAAGACTCGTGACCATTTAGACGGATAAGCTTCCCCGAACTTACCGTCTGTTGTGAAAACACTTAGCCCAACTATCCACAAAAAAATTAAAGAAAATGTACTAAATAACTCGAACCACCCCCCCTCATGAATGCCCCAGTTGTTGAAAAAATTCAAGTGAACAGTTATCCAAAAGGTTGATACAGCGATTGATCCGAGCCCTAAGACAATTGCATATGGGGTGTTGGCATCATCCTTATGAGAGGTAGTACCTATTCGTACATGGAGGTTGATGCTGTGAAAAAACAAACATAGGGCAGAGACACACCATAAGTTCGCCTGTTTCTTGAGACTACAGAACAGCGCACAGGAAAAACACAGTCGAAAACAAAAAATAGCCCTGCATCTTCGTCTCGTGAGTTTGCTCGACCACACATACCTACATGCAAAGACAACGCAAGCTGAGAGAAACAGGATCCACCAGCTTTTCAGTGTACAGGATACACCAGTTATCTCAGCAACAGACAAGATATCTTTTTCGGTGCTCCAGAGGTTGAGTGTATAGCAGCAAGAAAAAAGCGCTCCCCAAGAACTGTAGTATATGTTGGAGGCCTGATAGGCAATTCCTCCAGGTGTTGTTATTACGGCGACACCTACAATCCACCACACTACCATGAAGATCAAAACACTGCCTTCTATGTATCCATCTCTTGACTTCGTGTAATGAAAAATATCCAGAAGTTTCTGACTTCGATCCTGAATCAAAACTAGACTTGCGATGACAAATGTAAGAACACCGAACGCAACACAAATCGTATTCCCAAACTGTGCATCGTTTCGAGGATCAACATTGGATATACTTGCGAAGTTGATTGCCGAAAAAAATATGACTGTGAAGTAACCGAACCATCGTTGATTATACTCGAGTTTCTCAGAGTTGGCATCACTCTGGTTGGTTGAAGGCGCAGCTGCCAGGTTTGCTGTAGTAGTCGAAGCCATTTTTGTGATGTTCTGTCGCATACCGTAGCTTGATTTACTTTTCTGAAAATATCAGCATGCGAGAGTAATCGGCAGTAGAATGCGTAAACCGGAAAAAACTACCGGTACTCCAGTGGATTTTCTCATACGGCATTACTATCACGAAAACACCATCTTCACTTTGGTGAGACTGATATCTCCACAACCAGCGCACCTCTGAACATGAGAAGGGTACCATTACAAGGCTCTCCCTCTGCTCAATAAGCTCATTGAATATTATTTTCATTGTATCTCATCTCTTCTACAGTAGTTACTGTTCTGCTTAGACTGGGCAAAATGGCCAAGAAACTTCATCTCTGATTTTGATCAACTTCCCCTACCAGCCCAATTGAATGTCAAAGCTGATGGTTACTACGGATATCATAACAAATGATCGCGCAACTAATCGCGTGCATGGGAACGTTAATTTAACGTTCCCATTGTTAAGTTAGTGATGCCATCTCTAAATTAGTGATGCCATCATTAGCTAGGTAGGCCTATGTAGAAAATGTACTAGCCCCGGTAGTGGCACGCTGGCTGGTCAACAGCTGTTCAGCATCTTGCTTGAGATTGGTCTTTTGGATGGATCCTAGTACAAAGCTGTGTAGAAAATCCTGTAGAAAATCGTGGATCAAGGTACYTGCCTTGCGATTTTGGTCAAAATAGAAGGGTTTTGATTCAGCGTTCAAAAATGTACTGTGTCCTAGTGTCGTGACCTTTACCTGCCTCCAGCATGCTGATCCATCACGATAAACTGTTCTTTTCATTCTGAAGAAAAACTCCTGGGTTCAAAGCAACCGACCATGGAAATTGCTCCATTCCAAGCACTTCCACTCAACCTTTTACACTGTACTTGGTATCAATTGATAGCTCTCTTCAATTGTCAATTTATCAAGCCCTTAACTGTTGCAAACAAGCAAGTGTAACAGATTTTATAGTGTGTTCAGTGTAGCTTCTTTTTCACAACGAGACTGCTTCTTCTGACATCAGCAACCAACAGTATGAGCACCAATCCAGCAGATAGGATGAATACACAGGAGAGAGAAGCCGGGGATGGTCTCCTACGGCTCAGGGATCTGGCAAAAGACCCCCCAGGCAAGGATGAGCTGTTGGATTCCTCTTCAGATGATGATTCAGTTGATTCAGAGGGTAAAGAGGTCGCGTTTCCTATTCAACAACCTCCTGCTGGTCCTCCACCAGCTCCAGGCAAGCTACCATCCACTGTAAACCATCCCGAGTACAAGAAAGCCTATGAGGTCCTTGCGAGGAAGAAGAAGTATCTCAAGCTGGATGAAAAGAAGGAGCTGCTTATGCAAATCAAGGAGATCAAATTTACTCATCTCAATACTGTCTTTCCAGGGGAAAAGGCTTTCCCCTTGAGGGAAGAACTAACTGATCTAATAGATGAACTGAAGATGACAGGGCTCACCAAATCGAGGATTATAAGGAACTGGAAGCTACCCTACGTGGCTGGGAGACTGGCGTCCATCCATGCCGCCATGGAGATGAGGAAGGATATCTTGAAGGAGCGAGGATCAACTGCAACAACAAGGACCTTGAGGGGGAGTACTAAAAGCACTGAGCAGACCCTATCCACATTTCAATCAGTTGCAAAAGCAATAAAGAAGGCAATGAAGAAGAAGGAGAAGGATGACAAGGCAGCTGTCAGCAAGGGGAGCAGGAAGGGGTACATTCATTGGCAGACCAATGGCCAGAAGATCCAGGACAGGATCAAGTTTGATATCAAGAAGCTTGATCCTTTGCCTTGTCCTGTATGCAACAACGTCTCTACCATGGATACTGACAAGCTGGAAGACGTGAGAGCTGTGAATGCAGCAAGGCACAGGGAGTATCTTGCAGCAAAGAAGGATTATGATAGGGGGAAGACTAACATAAACCCCAGGCATGGCCAGGATGATGATGTCTGGTGTGCATGCTACTGTTGCAAGTTCACTTGTAACCTTGATCCGAATGGAGGGAACTGTCCTGAGTGCAGCAAGCCTGATGCTGACCACTTGGAATGGGACCAGCGGACAGGATTGCCTGTCACTTGCCACTGTCCTTTGTGCAACAGTGGATGCAAGGTTCGGTTCGCGTCTTCAAAGCAATTCAAGATCAAGACTGATATCCTGAGGGGTGTTCTTCTTGATCCAAATAAAAGATCTTCAACAAGCTGGGAGAAGGATCCAATAGGGGCTATCAATGATATTGCTACTCACCACGTGATGGAGGGGACCTTTCAAGCAGCGATGGAGGGGTGTCAGTCCTTTGCTGAGGCCAGGCAAAATGCAGGAGCCTATGCAGCCAACAGCTTTGCCCATGATATCCATCTTCAATCTAATGTTGCCTTTAGAAACGCAGTGCAGAAAGCATTTGGAAACAAGACTGATAGGACAGTCGCTCATGGGCTGAGTATTGATCAGGTTAGGAATGGTGTTTGTCCTCCGCGTCTTGCAGCTCAGCTGAAGGCCCAGCAGCGGAAGCCTTTGCCCCGGCAGTATGAGCCTCGTATGAGCAGTGCTGCTGATAGGAGTCACAGGCAGTATAGGAATAACCTCCATGGAGCCAAGTCTTCTTCTAGATTGCCCGGGAAGCATGGTTCTAGTCTTGCTCAGAGGCTTGCTGCATAGAGGAAGGGACCTGCTGAGGAGGGCTCAAGCGCTTGTCCTATTGACCTTGGTGATTTGAGTAGCGCGGATGAGGAAGAGCAGTATTTTGAGGTCCCCAATGCTGCTCTAAGTGCTGGTGCTGCTAATGTCCCTCACTGTACGCCTTTCAGTGATCTCAAGCCCCCTGCTCGTCCTGCTGGTTCCTCTTCCTTTGTTACCAAGGTTCGCCAAGTATCTACCAGGAGATACTGTTCTAATGAGAGCAGTCCTGATACTGAAGATGCCCTTGATATGATTATGAAACAGTTGAATCCAGCTTCCACTGATACACCAGCTCGTGGGACAAGGAATACTGTTGAAGATATGTGGAATATCTATCATGGAGATGCTRAAGTAGTAGTGGATAACATGGTGTGGATGAAGAAGAAGGAGCGTGGTCTGAGGCCAGCCAGGAAGCCAGCTTGTATGTCGGTTGCTCAGTTGCCAGCTGCTCAGTTGCCAGCTCGTACGCCAGCTGCTGGCGCTGCTCGTATGCCAGCTGCTGGCGCTGCTCGTATGCCAGCTGCTGGCGCTGCTCGGATGCCAGCTGCTCAGATGCCAGCTCAAATACCGGTAGCAGCAGCTGAATTGATGCTGGATTCTAGATTGTCTAGTACTAGATGGCAATCAGCTGGTGCTGGGACATCTGGTGTTGCAGCAAGGAAGAACGCTCATCTAAAGCTTCCTCCAGGTGCAGGGAACAAGCGTCCTCCAAGAAAGAAACCAAAACGCGTGGCAAACAGAGCAGCAAGGATACCACCAACCAAGGAAGAAATTCCAGTAGCAAAGGAAAAGGGTAATAAGAGATCCAAGAAGCTTACTGTTGATGAAAGAATGAAGCTATCTGACCAGAGGCGTGCAAAGCGTGTGAAAGAAAGGAAGGAACTTAATGCTCGTATGGAGACCATTTCCTCTAGTGCAATCAGTAGATATGAATCACCATGATTCTAGACAGGGGTCATAATTTAGCGGGGAGCGCAACGGATTTTTTTGCGCGTTATGAAGCACGAAAAAAAAAGTGAAACTCTTATTCCACGTGTGGTCCAAATTTCCAAAAAGTCCCCCCAGGATTTTTTTTCATTCTCATTTTTACTGCATAATACTAGTAAAACTATCCAACCTTTAAGCAGTTACTCGGACGACAGCTCTATCAAAAATATTACTATTTTAATTTTTGAGTAGCCAGTCTAG